AGCAGTTCGAATCCACCAGATGCTCTGCCGGGGAAGGAGGGACAATCTCCTCCTGTACCAGTCAGATCTGATTTAATGGTACACTCACATAAAAATAATAAAATAAAATTAAAAAAACAAAAACAAAAAAACTGCATTGTTAACGTTAGGCATGTTATTGAAGGAATCAGCAGTAAGATTAAGTTCTTTATATTTTTAGGGGTAAAAAAAACTCACACAGCTCTGATGATGAGCAGAAAGTGGTATTAAGAAACTTACAGTCTGTTTTCAAAAAGAAAAGTGAGGTCTATGAATTAAATTACATTGCATTTTTATGAGGTTCATATTTAACCACTATTTTCACTTAATAATGTTATTTCATATTTAAAATATTTAATTATTTGTTATTAGGGTCTCCGCAACATTTCTTCTACCCTGATTTGGTTCCATTTCTTTTTGAGAGAATTTTGTTTGCATGGCACAACACTTGGACACAGGAATCAGCAAGTCATTTTTAGATGGCACAAAAGTTTTACCAGTTTTGTATTTTAACATAAGTGCCCTGTGGTTTTTCACATTGGCTTTGACACTAAGCCTAAGAAAAGCGTTAGCTCAGCCAAAGTTTTAATATATGATGTTGTTGTTGTGTGCCATCAAGTCACCTACAGCCCATAACAACCCTATGTACATTAGCTCTGAACCTGCCCTATCCTGACCCAATCTCATCATCTCTGACACACCTGATCCCATTTCTCCAGTCACTGAATTAATCCATCTCATCCTGGGTCTTCCTCTCATGTGTTGTCTCTCCACTCTTCCAAGCATGATGACCCTCTTCAAGGACTGGTCCCTCCTGGCCACATCCCCAAAGTATATCAGACAGAACTTCAGAATCCTCACCCTCTTTAGGACAGACCTGTTTGTTCTCCTGGCAGTACACGGTATATTCAATACTCTTCTCCAGCACCACAGCTCAAACGGGTTGATCCTTCTTCTGTCATCCTTAGTTATTGTCCAGCTTTTGGATGCATAGCAAGTCATTGTGAAGACCATGGCCTGGATCAGGCGCACCTTAGTCTCCATTGTTACTCTTCAGTTCTTTGGAGATGTCCCTGACAGCAGACTTTCCCAATACAATTCCTCTTTTGATTTCTTGACTGCTAGTGCCCAAGAGTGTTGATTGTAGAACCAAGCAAGCTGAAGTTATCAGTGATCTCAATCTCTTCACCATCAAGCTGCCAATTGGCCCAAGTGGTTTTCTTGCTGTTATGCTTCAGTCCATATCTGCACCAAAGGAGTTAAAACATCAGTTCATTTATAATGTGGCTGCTCTATTACCATTACACTGATTCTAAGACAACTGGCTTTAATAAGATATCAACCAAATATATTTGGTAATAATGTATGCATTTAACATTTTTAGAGACTCTTCTTTCTGTGCTTTTTATAAAGAAGTCTTTTCTTATGGTTGCTCATTGTGAAAAATGAAAATATTTATTGTTACCATGTGAAGATAAAAGTAATTTCAAATTCATATATCCAAATTGATATCCTTAGTTTCAGTGATATGTGATTTGCAAACCACTTACAGTTCAGCTTATTGCCACGTAACCTTCTTATAGGTGACCCTCCAGCAGTTTTCAGAGGTAATGACTAGCACAGGAGAAGATTGTTATTTGCCAAGGTACAGCTGGTGGATTCGAACTGCTTGCCTTAGATTTGGCAGTGCAACTTCCTGCCAAGTAGGCCATCAGACCTCTGTTAGAATTAGTGTTGAAATCTTGTGTCTCTTCGCCTTTAACCTAAATCCCCTTTTCAGAAAAAAGAAATTTGAATCAGTAATAGGGATGTTATAGTCATACTTCCTTTATTTTTTATCTTGGAATCTGAGTGACTTTTCATCTTTTTTATTATAGTCACTAGAAAATATTCCCAGTGCTGTTGTGAGGCTCGTAATTGATTACATACACAATCATTAGGAATGGGCATAGAGAGGTAATGTTATTTACCCTTAAGCTTATATATGTCTTAAGAAGGGAAGAGAGTAAAAAATAGTAAGATGATTGTTAGTTGTAAATACATATGACTTAGTACAGCTTGAGAAAAATTTCACCCATGAAGCTTTTTTTAGCCCTTAAATTGTGAAATAGGGAAAAGTTGTGAAATCTGAATCTAGAGAAATGAAACTGTTAAAAGGAATTGGTTTTAGTTGTACAGATTTTTTTTTTTGGTGAGGAAAGGAAAAAAAAATAACCCTTTCTGCATTATTCCCACAAGTACACCAAATCTCCTGCTTGAAATAGTATGTTTTATTATATTAAGCATTAAATACCGAATTATACGAATTTTTTTTAATTCATCCCTTCTACTTTTCTTCAGAGGCAGTTAGTTACTTGCAGAGGAGATTTCCCATCCTTCTCCTGCAGAGCAGCTGGTAGACTTGAACTGAATGCCTTTGGGATTGAAGCACGGTTTCTTACTATTGTCTTATTTAACTTGATAGACTAAAAAAGAACAGCAATATTATTTAAAAATGGTTCTTTTAAGCTTTAGTGATGGTATTGGTTTGTGTCTGTAAATCTAGTTTCCTGAAAAACTATTTACATACAGTAATAAATTCCCCCTTTTATGTTTTTAAAGTGAGCAGGAAAATAAATATTGTCATGCATAGACACTGTTACTTTCAAAAAATAGGATTAAAAATAAAGAGCTGCCAAATTTTAAAGAATACAAGAACATTTAAATATATGGATTAACAAGGAATATGAAATAAAATATAAAATGTAGAATACATTGCACAATAAAAGAATAAGGATTTCCATAAAATTATGTTAAATGAAGTCAGTTTTATGTACAAATAACTAATTTTATTTCTGAAATATAAATGTACTTTTTTAGTATTTACAGAGATTTTTATATTTGGTATGAATATATCAGTATGAATACTGATACAGTGTTTCCCTGATTAATGTTTTCTTTACACAAAAACATATTCTTCAGGCTGCATATTCTCTTAATAATGATTTCCTTAAAGGAAAATAATTGTGTAGCGTTCATATCAATTTAGATGAATATTTATGGATTATTTAATGTAGAAATATAACTTTAATTCTGATAAATTGTGAAATATCTGAGAAAGAAACTTGTAGGAACTGAAAATAGCATGGTCACTGTATGTTGTTTAACACATAATGGATTTGTGAAATCATTTTAAGCAGATCACATTCAACCTTTGAAAAGTTTAAAACTCCCTATTTTAAGTGTCTTTTGGTACTTCTTTTCCTTGTAAGAGGTGCTAGCTTCCAACTGAAAAAAAAAAACAACAGAATTTTTTAGAAAGAGTAACTGTTCAGATTCTCGGAAGACCTGTAAGGGTAACTAATGATGGACACTTATTCTTGTGAAAAAACAACTCCTGTTGTAAAACAAGAAGTCCTATTTTCCTTTATTTTCACTTATTTGTTAAGAGATTGGATTTGTCTGCCTTTCCCACTCATCACATTTACAAAAGAGTGATTCTCTTCTTATGGGGTGAAAATAGCACTATGTAGAATTTGTTTCTTTCTCAGGATAGTCTTAAGATTCTGTAATTTGTATATGAGATAATTTGCTTGATGTTTAATAATTTTTTTAAAATAAACTAAATGATATTTAGCCTTATTGCCTTTCTAATTTAATATGCATACATCTAATCTAGTAGAAAAATGCCATTTGTTTGAAATGGTACTACTTTATTTTTTGTGTGCGTGTACCGTCAAATCAGATCTGACTGGTACAGGAGGAGATTGCCCCTCCTTCCCCGGCAGAGCATCTGGTGGATTCGAACCACGCATCTCTGGGATTGTAGTTGTAGCTTCTTGCCACTAGGCCACCAGAGCTCCCCGAAATGGTATTACTTTAATCTCTTCATTTAGATAAATACAAATTTCTAAAGCCATGAAATTTAGGGTAAAAAGAAAAAAACAACCAACTTAGTATATAAATCTTTCTAAATATAACACTTTGTTGCTATTATCTACATATTTCTATGCAGGAATATTTTTCTTTTCTTATAGCTATGTATATAGTCCTGTCTCCATACCTTTTCAACCTGTATGCAGAGCATACAGTCTCTCTAGAGACTAAGGTCCGCCTGACACAGGCCATGGTTTTTGCAATCACTTGTTATGCATCAGAGAGTTGGACAATGACTAGGGAGGACAGAAGGAGAATTGATGCCTTTGAGCTGTGGTGCTGGAGAAGAGTATTGAATGTACCATGGACTGCCTAGAAAACAAACAGATTCATCCTCGAGAGAGTTAAACCAAGCTACTCCTTGGAGCCAAGGATTCTGGGGCTTCGTCTGACATACTTTGGACATGTTGCAAGGAGGGACAGATCCTTGGAAAGGGACATCATGCTTGAGGGTTAGGGTTAGGGTTAGTGTTAATATATTTGGTTTAGAGTCTTCTTCTCTTTTGCTGACCTTCCACTTTTCCAAGCATGAAGTCCCTGTCCAAAGACTAGGACCCTCCTAGTAACATGCCCAAAAATAGTTTAACAGAATGTGCGGAGAGCTGGAATTGCAGAATAAAAAGGGAAGAGCTTAGTTGGCATTTCTCAAACTGAAAGAACTGAAAAACAAATTCAAGTCTCTATTTGTAATACTGAGATATGCTTTGGGCAAAATCTTAAATGATCCCGGAAACATTAAAAGAAGATGAGAACACATAGTCACTGCACCAAAAAGAATTGGCCAACACGAAAATAGTTTAGAACGTACCTGAAATAATGTGTAGAGAAAAGTGGCAGCACCTTGACCTATTCTTGAAATGTGATAAAGTTATTAAACAAAATGTAACACATCTTTTTCATTGAACAGTTTGATATAATCCTGTTAATAGTTTTTTCTTGTTTATGTCAGTGTTTTCCATTTATGAGATATTTATTAGTATAAACTATAGTTATTTAATAGTACAAGCTATGCATTCTTGCTTGCTTAATTCTTCTCATTAATGTTTTGAAATAATCGTTTTGCTTAGGACTTTGCCTCCCGGGCCAAACTGGCAGTTCAAAACCTAGTACAGAAGGTTGGCTTTTTTGGAATTTTGGCGTGTGCTTCAGTAAGTACATTTTATTAAAAGTAAGACATTTTAATAGTATTTAATTTTTTTATCCTATTCATTTTTAAAATATACTATAAAATGAATAAAAATGTTGCTACTTTTATAAGGTATGTAGTTTTATTAATCATGCATCCTATTGAAATTACCTTAGATATATATGTCTTATTTTTTTACTTTTAAGCACTTCATCACACAGTGAATGAATTCAGACCTGAATGACTGCATTGAGTAAAAACAAGAGACAGAAATCCTATAAATTCATAATTTATAATAAAATACATCTAACCAAATAAGAATGACTCCCTTCTTTCCAAAGTATGTTTGGTGTTTTTTTTTTTCCTTTATGTTTCGTGGATTAATTACAAAGTAGAATTCACATGAGGCATTAACTCCTAGAGATCATGGAAATATTTGTGACTGTGGTGATGATGTCTTTAGTTGCAAAAGTCTAAAGCTTGATGTATTGAATTTCAGATTTGTAAAATCAGCGTTCCTTAAAGAGTCACTGTTCATTGGCCTTGTTTTAAAATAATGAACTCCTAGTTGACATGATATAAGCTAATTTTAACTCACAAATTATCTAATGGTAGATGGATTTTTTTACCATTGTTGTAATGTGCTGTCAAGTCAGAACCAATTCATAGCCGACCCGCTAGTGGTTACAGAGCTTGTAAGGAGACTGCCCATCTTTCTCCCATGGAAAAGCTGGTGATTTCTCATTGCATGCCTTAGTTGGCCACCAGAGCTCTCTATTATTTGCTCTTTATTACCTCCTTCTCCATTATATACTAAAATATAGATACATCATAACTGTCCCTGCCTCAGCAAAACAAATGGCATCCTCCCACTCCCTACTAAAATAAAGCAACAAAACCTTTTCATCCCAAAGTTTGTGATGGTTTATAGAGCTACATATAGTCACATTATATTTACTATTTTAGAGCTTTCAAAACTAGTGACTTGGGCAATACTAAGAACTGTTTATAATACAACTTTTTAAATACAGCGGCTCTATTTCAAAATATTGATCTTAACTGTTTGAGAAAGTGATAAGTTTATTATGGTATAATATGGTGCAGAGAGAAAGGGTGTGGACAGGTTAATAAACAAGTTACACTTCTTAAGAAGTATGTGAATTCAGTCAGGTTACTCTTCGAGCCAGTTTTCTCATTTTTAAAATGAAGCAAGGTTTTCCTTGCAAAAGTGCTCTGAAAATTGAAGATAATATATGCAGAATTGCTAACACACTGCCAAGACAATTGCTTCAATACTTGACAACCATTTTTATTAGGACTCATTAACTTCGTATTGTAGAAATCAAGAAAAGTGGTGGTAGATACAGTCTTTCTTCTAAGAAAAACTGAATGTAGTGAGAAAATTGCTTGAAACATTATGTACCATTAAGTCAGAACCGCCCAACCATAGCTGATCGTCCAGCCATTTTTCAGAGGCAGTTAATCTCACCGAAGGATATTGCCCATCTTTCTCCTGCGGAGCAGCTGCTAGATTCTAATCACAAGCCTCTTCATGGGCAACACAACCCCTTAGACCCAGAGCACCCTAACTGAATGGAATTGAGCAGAGAAGTTTAATGTATAACAGTGTCATAGATTGGAGACTAAAAATAAAGACTAGATTCATACTGCCTGAGTTCAAATTCTGCTCCATTCTTTATCCTAGGTAAATGGCTTAACCTACCTTTCTCACATTTTTCTTCTCTAAAATTGATGTAATGACTCCATATAATGAATCAGCACCGTGGAATGAGAGACTCAGCAGGGGTATAATGAGTCCATTAAGAAGTCTTATGAGTGACACTGAATTCTTGCCAGAACCATAGTGCACTCCACACATTCACAGATGGTCTGTCACCATCTTGGAGCCAGACACTACTGTTTTCAATTAAGGTGGTCAAGAAATTTGATTGCTTTGCAGTGCACATTCTGCTTTTGTTTTCTGAGAGGGAGATTCAATTTCTAGCAGAATTTTGACCTGTAATTTTCCAGTTCAGGTTACCATTTTGGTTAAACTATAGAAAAAGGACATAATGCTTGGAAATGGGGCATCAGCGAAGGAGGGGAAGATCCCTACAAGATTGATTGACACAGTGACTATAACACTGGATTCAAGTGTGGCAAGAGGATGAAGATGGCTCAGGATAGGACACAGTTCAGCTCTGTTGTTCTTAGGGTTGCTAGGAGTTGTGGTCGACTTGAGGACACCTAACAATATATTTTACCTTGGAGAATTGTGGCCAGGGTTCTCTTTAGAGGTAACAGTGATGAACCTTCATTTCACTCTGCATGTTAGCAGGTGGTACCAGTACTTAGAAAAAGCCATCATGCTGTGAAAGGTAGAGGATCAGAGAGAGAGAGAGAGATGAAGACTTTCAGCAAGATGGATTCACTGGTGACTGTTAAGACTGGGCTTGAGCATAGCAGAGATCATGAGGACAGCACGATAGAAGAAGGTTCACATCTCTTGTTCACAGGGTCACTAAGGATCGTAGTTGACTCAGTAGCACTTGACAGCAACAATAAACACTTTATTGACAGGCTCATCCACATGTCAGCCATGACCGAATCAGACTGAACCTGTTCAAAGCCCTACAGTCAAATAATACTGTTATTTATATAACTGTAAGGAACAAAGTTTTTAATTTGGATTAAAAAACCCAGTATTATTGAATCCAAGTGTTAGTTTAAAAAAGTATGCTTTAATTCTGATGTAGGCAAGGGATTGCTTTAAAAGAACATAATGACAAGTATTTTTTTTTTTTATATAAACATCTAAGATTTTCTCTGAAAGCTTGGAAATGAAGTTGTATAAATTGTCTTTTAAATAATTAAGCCAACTGCCACAAGGTAGTATACTTGTATGGAAGAAAAAATGTCTGAAGTGCTCAAAAACATTTTGTGACTTCTTTTTATTTGAAACTATCTTTTAGCCTTCTAGAAATGTAGAAATGTTTGGAAAAGGTGTTTGTTATGAACCACTTCTTTGTCTGGAACTGGGTATTCAAAACATCTGCATCTGTGTGTTCTCACATTTCCATTCTTGATTTCCTTTCAAGTGGCCCCACAGCTTTGGGCTCTCATATAAAACACAAATAATGATTTTTTAAAAATATTGAATAATAAAAGCACAGCCACAAAACAAATTGTATATATATTGTTGATGGGAAAACTAAATTACTCTGTAAACTTTCACCTAAACCACAGTAAACAGTTCAAAAGAAAAATGTAAGCTAATCTACCTATAAATGTATTATTCATTTACATGAATATTTGTCTAAAAGAATTGAATACTTCTTAATATTCTCATTTCTTTTTGAAGATTTTAGAACCCTACCTTCTGCGGGATAGTTTTAAAATTCTTTCATCATTCATATCTACAGTAGAAGATAGCCAGTAAATGATCAGATATCTTCTAAAAGACATTAACCATAAGCGAGTTAGATAAGCGAGTTAAAGCTCAATTACAGTGTAGACATATTTAATTGAAATTAGTATGATCTAATTTACAGATATTATAATATGTACCTCACTGCATCCTTAATGGTTTGATACTGACCACAGAACCCATGGCTAACTTTACAGTGTAGGTAATTTAGAATGTTACATATCAATGTAAATTATTATTTTTATTATATTAATCTGTTTCATTTTTTTCTCTCTCTCTTAGATTCCAAATCCTTTGTTTGATTTAGCTGGAATAACTTGTGGACACTTTCTTGTACCTTTCTGGACCTTCTTTGGTGCAACCTTGATTGGAAAAGCAATAATTAAAATGCACATTCAGGTAATTATATGCTGAACTTCCCTACATAGTTTTAATGAGGGACTGGAACATATTTCACTTGACCATTTACTTATTTTTTGTTTGATGGCTTGCTCTTAGGTATTAAAGCAAGGAGCATCATTTGAAAATTTGTGAGTTCTTCATCCATGTTAGGAAATTCTTTTCCTTGGCTTTTCTCCCTTGCTTCCTCCTTTCATTCTCACTTTCACTTTATTTTACTTTTGCCTTATAAAACTATCTGAAGACTTTTTCCCCAACGTGATGTTCCTGTATAGGAAAGCTCACAACATTTTTAATTTAGTGAAAGAACTCTAATTTATTTACTAAATATTGTTGAGAAAACACTATCTTTCCATACTCTTTCCTTTCACATACTGTATATAGTATTTTTTCTCATGTCACCAGCATCCTTTACCGAAAATCAGCCAGATGTTTCTATGGGGGAGAATGAGGAAGAAAGGACTCTCTAAGGGGCAAGGAGATGTGGGTTATGATTAAAGAAGTGAAAATTTGCTGGTTTCAATTCTTATCACAACCTTGAGGATAACTATATAAGTGTATAATGTTGTTAGTTGTTATGTGCTGTCAAGTCACCTGCAACCCTGTGTACAACAGCCCTAAACCCTGCTCTATCCCATGCCAGTCTTATTGTCTCAGACGCACCTATCTCCATTATCACAACCACTAAATCAGTCCAGCTCATCGATGGTCTTCCTCTCCTGCACTGTCCCCACACCCTCCCAAACATGACGTCCCTCTCCAAAGACTGATCCCACCTTGCAACATGTCCAAAGTATGTCAGGCAAAGCTTCAGAATTCCTTGCTTCCAAGGAGCAGCCTGGATTCACCCACTCTAGAACAAACCTGTTTGTTTGCCTAGCAGTCCATGGTATATTCAGTACTCTTCTCTAGCACTGCTGCTCAAAGGCATCAGCTTTCCTTCTATCATCCCTTGTTGTCCAGCTTTCTGAAGCATAGCAAGAAATTGCAAAGACCATGGCCTGGCCTGTACCAGGCACACCTTAGTCTCCGGACTGACATTGTTGCTCTTCAGTACTTTGGAGAAGTCTCTGACAGCAGACTTTCCCTTTCATCTTTTAATTTCCTGGCGGCTGGTACCAAGTGTTGATTGTAAAGCCAAGCAAACTGAAGCTGTTGACAATCTCAATCTCTCAATCTCAATCATCTATCATGATGCTGCCATTTGGCCCAGTGGTGAAAAAAATCTTTGTTTTCTTGATGTTGAGCTTCAATCCATATTGAATGGTGCAGTCCTTGACCTTCTACAGCAAGCGCTTCAGGTCCTCCTCAGTTTCGGCCAGCAGGGTTGTGTCATCTGCATAACACAGATGTTGATGAGTCTTCAGAATAGGTTCATTGAGCCAATATTCTACTCTGTTACCGTAATAAGCATCTAAAATGTCGAGATGATATTTTTCCTCCTTCAAGGAATATATTTCTCCTCACTTAAATTGAGATCCACATGTAAAGTCGTCTTTTGTGTCTTTCAGAAAAGGTATTTGCAATGAATAAATACAAAATGCAATCATTCTGTTTCCAGCTTCATTTCTATCACTGGCCCATATTTTCCTTCTTCACTGCTTTCTACTTTTGCATTCCAGTCACCAGTTACCATTAATGTATCCTGATTGCATGTTCAGTCAATTTCAGACTGCAAAATTTGGTAAAAGTTCTCAATTTCTTCCTCTTTGGTTCTAAATATAGGAGCATATATTTGAATAATAGTCATGGTAATAGGTCTTCATTGTATGCATATGGATATTATCCTATCACTCACAACATTGTATTTCAGGATAGAACTTGAAATTGACTTTCTGACTATGAATGCAACATCATTCTTCCTCTGTTTTTCATTGCCTGCATAGTATACCCTATGATTATCTGATTCAAAGTGGCCAAAGCTGGTTCATCTCATCTCACTAATGCCTAGTATGTTCATATTCATGCATTCCATTTCACATTTCATCCTTGCTCCACTTTTTTTTAATAATTTCCAACTTTCCACCATTCAAGCTATGTACTTTCCATCTTCCAATTGTTAAACAATGTTGTTATTGATTTTCCTCTTTTCAACTGATTTCCAGTCTCGGCTCTACCACTATACTACTATAACCATCCTCTTTGTTTAGAGTTCACAGGGTTGAGGCTTTGCCTCACATACTTTGGACATGTTGCTAGGAGATGCTATTCCTTGGAGACGGATATGATGTTGGGAAGGGTGGAGGATGGGCAAGGGAGAGGAAGACCCTCATCCAGGTACATTGATAAGGTGACTGCTACGATGGGCTCTTGTATGTCATGAAGTGTGAGGATGGTGCAGGATATAATAGGGTTCAGACCTTTTGTTCATAGGGTCTCTATAAATTGCTCAAGTCTACGTCACCTAACAACACTTAAGTGAAACGAGCACAAATCTTATACTGGTTACTTTGGTTAAAGATTTAAAACAGATACTATGAAAGAATTTCTCTAATGTATAAATTATTTCTCAAAATAGTTGAACATAAATTTTTTTTCTTAATCTTTTTCTTTCTGTGAGAAAATAGGATTAGCTATTGTTTAGCTCTTAGAAGTCCTTTGAAATTATTAGTACCAAAGAAACAATAACAGGTTTTTATTCTTTCCTCTTATAACAGGAAATTATCTAGAAATACATATATTTTATATATTCTGCTGTACACCACTTGAATATAGTAACTTTCTACACATTGTAGTAAAATTTATTAACCTAAATATATGCTATCTTGATAAGATATATAATATGTAGGGTTTCTCATTTCAGAAAATTAAAATAAGTACGTTTCTAAGCATTTTTATTAAATTTTTTTAAGTTACAATAATGCTGATTTTTTGTATGTTGCTTCACACTCTATTTTATAATTGTAAATCTTCAATTAATATGCACGTTACTTACCAGAGTTGTTAAGCATCCCTAGGTGGTAATTAGCAGTGAATGTACTCTGATGCTAATGGAAAGGCTGGCAGTTAAATCCACCTAGAACACTGCTTGAGAAAAAAAAATCTTAGAGCTGCCCAATACTCAGCCTTTTACGTTTTACTTGATATGTAACAGAGTAGCCTTGAATCAGAATCAACTCTATAGACTGAAAAAAGAAAGACTAGTTCACCCATGAGACTTAAACGTAAGTCTTTTTGGCTCAAGTTCAGTGTTCTTAGCATTCTAATGCTTTGGTTCCTTAGATATAAGTTATCTGCTTAAGGAAAGGAATGGGCTTACTGTGTTATTTATCAGGACATATGCTAGGTAGTTTGTAAGAGTAATTCTGTGAGATTTTTTATTCACATTTCATAAGTAAAGAAACTGAGTGTTAGGTAAAATACTTACCTAAGACCTTGGAACTCATACTCTGTTAAGCTAACCTTCTTGCCACATGTCCATGTAGAAAGGAAAAAAGAAAGCTAAAATCCACCAAAAGAGAAAAAAATCTTAAGTCCTTCACTCCACTGAGACCATGGGGTATGTTTGCTATGTTCTATTGTATCATAGTGACATACTTGTAAAGGCATGTCACTTGATGTACATCCAGATGTAGCTTTGGGCAACAAACATTTCTCAATCTTTGGGTAAGTAATTTTAGTGAGTAATATAAACATTTAACCATTTCTGAAATAACGAGGGAGGAGAGAAGAAACTCCATTAACATTCTAGTAAATTGATTTTCTTCTACTTTATTTCTCAAAAGCTAACTTTCCTTGTTACATGTTTTTATTTTTCTTGGTACATAATCTTGCTATCTGTTAAGATTTTACTTCAGATTTTGTATGTCACATAAGGATTTTCCCTTCTACTGGACCCTTCTACTTGGACAGATTCACTTCCGTCCTTAGTTGGGACCTTAGACCAGACAACACCAGAATTATGTTTCACATCTACTTTTTTACTACCTCTGCCTTTCTGTCTACCACCAAATATATGTACACATACTCAAAGGAATATAGAAGCTACTTGAGGGCAAGGACTTTTGCCTCTTGGCTTCTCTAACACAGTAGGATTAGTATCCATTACATAATTGTGGTTAATTGCCACATCAAGTCAGTTCCACCTCAATGGCAGCTCAGTGTGTGTAGAGTAGGAAAAAACCTCCATAAAGTTTTCAAGAAATGACCATTCAGAAGCTTGTCATGAGCCCTGTCAGAGGCACCTCTGAGTAAATTTGAACTGCCAGCCTTTCAGGGCAGTATTTGAGTCCAGTACTGCACCTTTTTCAACACCCAGCACTAGTTTCCTTTAATTTGTTGCGTGCCATTGAATACAAATAAAATATTTACTTCTTCTTAGCATCATAATATTCAGTTGCTTATCATAGTTTATAACTGACTTAAATTTTTCTGCCATCTTTATGTTTACTTTTTTATCCAGATAGCTGAATACCTTTTTAAAATTAAGTAGTTTTTTTAAAAAATTCCATAAAATAATAACTAAAATTCCTTCTTATTTTCATGTGTACACCTGTCATGAAGTTGCCAGAGCCTCTTTGGCTAGTCGGACATTGTTTAAGAAAACATCATTATCAGTATTCTCCCTTAATACTTAATAGTCTAATCCTTAATAGTCTAACGTAATCACTTTTCTGAGATTGATTATGCTGTTGTTCTCCATCGAGTTGGAACCAATCCATAGCTGATTTTCCGGTAAGTTTTCAAAGACGGTTAATTGCATGGAAAGAGATTGCCTCTCATCCCATAGAGCTGCTGTTGGATTTGAACCACTTGCAGCACAGCTTCTTACCACTAGGCCACCAGAACTGAGATTCATTATAGGTGGATTTAAAGAAGACCATTGCTATGAATCTTCTTTCTTTCTTCTCCACTTTGAATCCTTCGAATACATAGATTTAAATAATTGCATAACAAATAATAACAAAGCAGGAAAGTGTTGGTTATCAGGAATTTGGTGAGAAAGAATAAAAGTGTTACTGTATTATCAGAACATTTTTACTCATCTTGTTGTTGTTGTTATGTGCTGTCGAGTCGCTTGCGACCCTATGTACAACAGGCCTAAACTCCGCTCTGTCCTATGCCAATTGCACTGTCTCCGACACTCCCATCCCAATTATCCCAGTCACTGAATCAATCCACCTCATAGAGGGCCTTCCTCTCCTGTGCTGTCCCTCCACCCTCCCAAGCATGATGTCCCTCTCCAAGGACCGGTCTCTCCTCACAACATTTCCAAAGTATGTTAGACGGAGCCTCAGAATCCTTGCTTCCAAGGAGCCACCCGGTTTAACCCTTTCCAGGACAAATCTGTTTTCCTAGCAGTCCATGGTATTCTCAATACTCTTCTCCAGCACCACAGCTCATCTAGTAAAGCTAAATTAAATAATTACCTTTTTTAAGTCTTTTATTAATCACGTAATGAAATGTGGCCGCTCTTTTTTCTAAATCTATATAACATGTTTTTAGTACTAATGACATCAACAGTCTATTCTCTCTCTCTCTCTCTCTCTCTCTCTCTCTCTCGTACTTCATCTTTCTCTGAAAGATCTTAACTATGCATAAGAACTTGGTATAACACTTTTTGAAATGAGTTCCTACCTATTATCTGTTAAGGTGTCTTTAATCATGCATCGGTAAGTTTTCAGTATCTTCAGTGTAGAGTGCTTTGGTAATGAGTTCCCTGATACTATTCATAAGGTGCAAGACAAGAAACTCATTCGATTGTCCAGGTTTACCCAGAGATGCTTCCCAGGACAAAAGGCCTGGCTGGAGGTCTATTTATGTTTAGTTTTTTGTTTGTTTTTTTTTTAATTTTATTATTTTTTGGTGTGTGTGTACCGTCAAATCAGATCTGACTGGTACAGGAGGAGATTGTCCCTCCTTCCTCAGCAGAGCATCTGGTGGATTTGAACCATGCGCCTGTGGGATTGCAGTGCAGCTTCTTGCCACTAGGCCACCACAGCTCCCCTGGAGGTCTATTTCTACAGAAAATCAGCCATTAAAAACCTGTGGAACACGTTTATGTTATAAAGGACACCTGTGGTTTCCATGAAGTAGCATCAACTCCACAAGAACTGGGGGTTTTGGCCTTTGTTTACACCAAACTAGAAATGTCTCCCATCCGACAGCTAGCTTTTGTCTTAACTCTGAAAGCCCAAGATCATTGAATGTCTGAGACTAAAAATGCCTTATATGAAGAATGCACAGTCTTTTCAAAATAGTCTGAATCAGATTTAGCACAGGCCTCTCCTGTCGAAGTCATCAGCTTGATTTCATTACAGCTGAGGAGCTGTATCTGAACTCATGACCCGTGGTGTTGTAAACACCACTCTCAGACACAGAGAACATGTGGAATGTCCACTATTCCCTTCCTGCTGTGGGTTTCATGACTCATATTTTCCTCAGACGTGGTTATGTGTCCTAGTAATAGTAGAACAATGCTTGGGGGGAGGGGGGGAAATCTCTTTCAAATACAAAGTAGCATTTTGTGACCCAAATAATAACTTTCTTCCAATAATGCCTTTTATTTTATTAATAAATAATTTTTTAAAATGACAGTGGAATAAAAACTTCACCTTTTCAATTGTTACTAGGATTGTTATATATGCATTTTTATAAGAATAAATGTTTTAACTTGAGATTTTTCTTCTTACAGAAAATCTTCGTGATAGTAACATTCAGCAAACACATAGTGGAACAGATGGTGTCTTTCATAGGGTGAGTAATCCTTTAAGTGACTAATAATAATCTTATCACTGTTTGAATAGGAAGAAATATGAATAATGAACCAGTGTGTGTATGTGTGCGTGTGTGTGAGAGAGAGAGAGAGAGAGAGAGAGAGAGAGAGAGAGAGAGAAAACACACACATACCATCGAGTCAAATCTGACTGGCACAAGAGGAGATTGTCTCTCCTCCAGCGGAGTGTCTGGTGGATTCGAACCATGATTCTTCGGTATTGCAGTGCAGCTTCTTGCCACTAGGCCTTCAGAGCTCCCTCAGAGTAGAATTTTTATAATAGCTCATAATTTTTTAGAAGCAGAAATCCTTTATCCTGTTCTTGCCCTTAACAGGGAAGAATGAAACTCATATTATCCTTATGTGATTTTAAGTCAGCCTTGGATCAATCATGTAATTCTTGACTGTTAGAATCTTTGGATTAATGATCCACATAAAACATAGCACCTCTACCTTGAAGCAAAAGAACTGGTTAGTGTCAACCTCACTGACAAGAGGTACAGTAGCGGTCCCAGTTAGAATAGAAGAAAAATCAGGGTTATTACAAAAAAAGGAAAAACCAAGACTAAGATTATTGAACTATTAGGGACTGAAAGAATCCCCTTACTGCCACCCTAAATATTACCCATTTAACTTGGAGCTAAAGCTACTCCTTTCAGTGAAGCAAGATATTAGCCTATAATATAAGTAGTAATATTCATGAGAGGTCTAAACAGGTAATATTTGTCCAAAAGCAAAGAGGCGATTGTTCCTCCTCCTTCAGCAGAGCATCTTGTGGATTTGAGCCGCGCACCTCTGGGATTGCAGTGCAGTTTCCTGCCACTAGGCCACCAGAGCTCGCCATGTTCCCAACTTTCTAATTATAAACATGGACCATAACTTTTGCATAAAATTTTAATTATTTCAATTTGAGATTATGTTTTTAAGCAACTTCACAGCTTATTTATTGAATCTAATTTGCTTCAAAAGAGTTGGAAAATAGAGATTTGCCAAACTAAGCACTAAAATATTTACAAATGTAGTACTTTATAAGTATCATAGTTCACATTTAAAGAGGAGGTAAGAATATTCTTACCACTTATATTTTAAATTTAAGGAAGGCTTCTATTCTTAGAGATTACTGCTATACTTTTGAGAGAAAGGACACATGGCTAACGCTACCACACAAAACACATACTGAAGAATGGCAGTGCCTGCACTTCCCTAAATTCATCCCTTTTCCTTTATCTGTAATAAGATTGGTTTATTCTACAGAGTGATCAGATTTGTCTCAAAATACAGCCAGAATGCTTCTTAAAAGGGAGAATGGCTAGACTTCATCTCACATAGTGTCTAGAGAAGGATATGATGCTTAAAAAAAGCAGAGTTTAAAAAAAAAAAAAAGAAGAAGAAGAAGCAGAGACAGTAAAAAAAAGAAAACACTCAGGATAGTGAATTGACAGAGTGACTTCAGCAGTGGGCTCAAACATAGCAGCGATTGTGAGAATGACACAATCTCAGTGTTTCATTGTATTGTATTTGGGGTCCCTTTCTGCCATAATGGACTATGTGGCACCTAACAACAACATCATTCCATCTATCCTCAGATTTTAAAATTTCTACAAGTTACGTTACTTAGCTACTCAGCTCCTCTACTCATGTCTAGTCTAGTTTCACTCTTAAATTTGACCCTCTTTGATCAGTCACAGTAATTGTTTTGAATGTTTAATCTGAGCTTGTCACCACAGTGTTCTTATTCCCTAGTTTCTCCTGTTTTTGAAACTTTGTATTGTTTAAGATAACACTGGTATTCATTAATAAGACTTGTCATGCTCCGTGTGACATGGCTCTGACTGCTCTGACCGTATTTTAGTCTTACAATTGTTCTTTCTTAGGCTTTGCCTTTTGCCTGAATCAGAATGTTTTAGGCATGGTATACTGACATTTTAGGACAATTCTAGGGGACTGTCTGTCCTATAAACTAAAAGATTTTTTTTTTCAGCTGAGTACAGTGTACTTTATTGATGGTACATGACAGGATGGGCTCTCTCAGCCCTTCTCCTTTTTCAGGGGGACTGGATGGAAACTGTGTCAAGGATGTGAGATTCTCAGTGTGTGGGAGGATCGAGTTGGGGCAAGGATTCCCCAGCAGCTGAGGGTCTCAGTCTTCTAGTGCTATTCCTGGGGCCGGTGGTCTAAGGGGCTCTTATTCTTTGGAGGCCATGTGAACCATTCATTATGTTGACCACCCAGTTGCTGTGACATACAAGGAAATGAGTTTGACAGAGTGGTTTTTCAGGGTAATACCAGCCCCAGCATCAAAGTTGTATCACTATTAAAGTCACAGGAGACAACCTGGTCTTCAGTGTATCCCAGGATGCCCTCGATGGGACCTTCTGATGCTTGATTTACTACTATCGTGATGTCATCATATTTGGCAGCTTTCTCTAGATGGCAGGTCAGGTCCACAACTGACACATTGGGGGTGGGGACATGGAAAGCCAGGCTGTTTCCCATTCAGTTCAGGGATGCCCATGGCCTTGGCAGTACCAGTAGATGCAGGGATGATGTTCTGGGCAGCTCCACAACCGTCACACCATGACAGCTTTCCAGAGGGGCCATCCACAGTCTTCTGGGTGGCAGTGATGGCATGGACTGTGGTCATGAGTCCCTCTACAATGCTGAAGTTGTCATGGATGACCTTCGCAAGGGAAGCCAAGAAGTTGGTGGTGCAGGAGGCATTGCTGACAATCTTGAGAGAGTTGTCATACTTTTCATGGTTCATGCCCATCACAAACATGGTGGCATTGGCAGAAGGAGCAGAGATGATTACCTGTTTGGCACCACCCTTCAAGTGAGCCCCAGCCTTCTCCAAGTTTGTGAAGACACCAGTGGACTCCCCAACATACTCAGCAACTTGGCGGGATCCTGGAAGACAGTTATGACTTTCCCATTGATGACCAGCTTCCCATTCTCAGGCTTAACAGTGCCATGGGTGGATTTATATTGAAACATATAGACCATGTAGTTGAGGTCAATGAAGGGGTCATTGATGGCAACAACATCCACTTTACTAGAGTTAAAAGCAGTCCTGGTAACCAGGCACCCATTGCGGCCAAATCCATTTACTCCAGCCTTCACCATCGAGTCTCAGGGATGCAGCTGAGGCTACACGAGAAGAGAGGGCAATCTGGATCAACGAGGAGCAGAGAGCCTACACTAAATTATTTTTAAACTTGTATTTCTATGTTTACTTGTGTGAGTTGGGAGTTGTGGTAGCATAGTCCACAAGACGTTACAGTGCTAACCTAAAGGTGGAGCTTTGCTTTTTTTTATATTTTTGTGAGTGTACCGTCAAATCAGATCTGACTGGTACAGGAGGAGATTGTCCCTCCTTCCCCGGCAGAGCATGTGGTGGATTCGAACCGTTGGCCTCTGGGATTGTAGTTGCAGCTCCTTGCCACTAGGCCACCAGAGCTGTCCCGTGGATGAAACATGGGCAGTCTCCTTCAGTGCATTAACTGTCTCTGAAAACTTGTTGGAGTTTGGGTTGGTTCCAACACAGTGGTAACTAACAACAACCCACAGCTAAGATTTGTAGTCGAGTTGAAGCACTTAACAAAAAACAAAACAAAACAAAACAAAAAAACCCAAAACTAGTTCAATATGATGATATTTTATGTTATTTAATATACTACTTGGGAAAGAAGTTGACGAGGTAAGATCATAACTAAGGGAGTAATGACTTGCTATAGCAAGGATGGCTCCTTGGAGGCAAGGATTCTGAGGCTCCGTCTAACTTACTTTGGACATGTTGTGAGGAGAGACCGGTCCTTAGAGAGGGACATCATGCTTGGGAGGGTGGAGGGACAGCGCAGGAGAGGAAGGCCCTCTATGAGATGGATTGATTCAGTGACTGGGATAATTGGGATGGGAGTGTCAGAGACAGTGCGATTGGCACAGGACAGAGCGGAGTTTAGGGCTGTTACACATAGGGTCGCTATGAGTCGCAGGCGACTTGATGGCACATAACAACAACAACAACAACATGGCAAGGAAGAAAATCATGACAAGGAAAAAAGCAGTGACAGTTCAAATTAAAAATAAAATTACAGTAAAGCCTTCGAAAGCCAGAACTTACATAAGGCAGAAATCTGTCAAAAAAGAAAAACTAAAATATTTTCCACTAAAATAAAATTAAAAAGTGGTAAGGCTGCACTCTATCAAAGGCAGAATCTTGCAGAATTTGGAGAACATGATGTAAAATTAAACTCCTCACATGGGTTTCACAGTATGAGATCCTATGGCAGACAAACCCTGGTGATGGCGTATTTACTAGACAGCTAAAGCAAAGGACACTGGTTTGAATCTAAGAACTAACTGTTCTGAGAGGAAAAATGCGACAGTTGGCTTCCTTAACCATTGTTGTTGCTGTTGTAATGTGCCATCAAGTTGACCACAATTTATCACGACCCTGTGAACAACAGATCAGAGCCATGCTTTATTCTGCGCCATCTTCATGGTCACCATGATTAAACCCATTGTAATAGTTACTGTGTCATCTCATCTTGTTGAGGGTCTTCCCTTTGTTCTCTGACCCTTCACCTTTCTTGGCATAATATCTTTTTCAAGGACTGCCCCCTCTTGATAACATGCTCAAAGTATGTGAGATGAAGTTTTACCATCCTTGCCTCTAAGGAGCACTCAGTTTGCACTTCTCCATCACCGACTTGTTTGTTCTTTTGGCATTCCATGGCTATTCAGTACTCCTATGTGACAGTTCTCTGCTTTATAGCTGAGTCAGAATTGACTTGGCAGCATTGATTTTGGTTTATGGCAAACAAAGAGTGAATGAGTCCCTATAGTAAGGACAGCTAGGGAGTGGTATAGTAGAGGCAGCAGATGCTTTGAGCAAAACAAAGTTAACATTTAAAGGTGCGCTATGCCACAGGCATCCACTTCTAGTTGGCCATGCCGTCAAATACTCTGTACTGAGGCCTTC